ACGAAGTACCTGGAAGAGTGCCCGCCGTCTGAGACCCCTCGGATGGGGAAACTCCGTGGCCAGGCCCTAGGGATCACTTCCCGGCAGGGCAGGCTCAGGGGTGGGGCTTGGCCATTTAAAGGGCCCTCGCAGCTGGTTCTCGGTGTTTCTCCTCTGGGCGGCTTCTCCGGCAGCTGAACGCACTGCAGCTCCTTCAGCCCTCAGGAAGCTCCCGCCTCAGAGCTGGGCGGGCAGCGCGGGAATGAGCCTGGGAAGGGTCAGAGGGCCTGGGACGGGGGAGGGCAGGTGCAGACTGAGCTCGCCTCCGCCCCATGTGCCTTTCATTTCAATTTCCCCATCCGGGTGTCTGCGATCGATCCCGTGGATCCCGCCACTCTGCAACCGTCTGGGCTGCTGCAGCTCACCCTCTAACAGACAATAACTTGGCATTTTTTTATTTTAGATTCAGAGAATTTAGCCCAGGTCTCCAAAGAGATGTTCAACAGAAAGCATACATAGGCACACACACGTTTTCCTTCTGGCATGGGGCAGTGTTGGGGGCTTGGGAGTCTCTCTGCTCTTGCCCCGTGTCCCAGCGCCCCGGGCTCGGGAATGGGCGCCCAGAAGGTATATGCTCTGCACCCTAACGGCAGCAGCAGTGCTCAGTATTTCCGCTGCCGGGGGAAGAGAGTGCTCCCTGAGGACCGGAGCGGGGGGCTGGTGGGGCTGGGGTCCTCTGAGTCCAGGCTGAAGAGGTCCCTGCCAGTACGAAGGATTTGCTCCTCCAGCTTCTTGTGTCGCTTCATGTCGGAGAGAACCTTGTCGAGGCGGGCCTCCCGTTTCTGGCTCCGGGCGGAGCTTCCTGGAGAAAAGGAAGGTAAGAAATGTGGATGGGGGTGAGGCGCTGTGCACCAGACTTGCCTAGATGTTACTAATTACTTGGGGAGCTCATTCAACATACAGATTTCCAGGCCTCTGTCATGGAGGCCCTGAGGTTTGGGGTTGGGCCTCAGATGGGGTAAGCAGTGAAGGGCTGAACTATGAGAAGGGGCCAGTAATGTGAAGACCAGGGTAAAGATACCCAGGCAAGGGAAGAGCAAGTGCAAAGGCCCTGGGGCAGGAACAGGGAGGTCTGTTCAAAGAAGAGTATAGACAGCTGGGAGGTGGTGGGGAGATGGAAAGATGTAGTCAAAGAAACAACTTAGAGGCCATGATGAGGGGTTTGGATCTCTTAGTTTAAACAGAAATAAATGTCTTTGGAAACCTTGGGGGCCCAGGCAGTCAGGGGGAAGTTGTGGTGTTTGGATTCTCTCTTGACATGCTCTTTTCCCCAACAATGGAATCCTTTGGAGGATTTTAAACACAGTAGTGACATGATTTGTATTTTGAAAGGATCATTCTGGTTGCTGAGAATGGAAGCAGGGAGACCAGTTAGGAGCCACCACAAATATCCAGGCAAAAGAGATGATGGCTTGGGGTGCCTGGGTGGCTCAGTCGGTTGGGCTTCCAACTCTTGATTTTGGCTCCAGTCGTGATCTCGGGGTCGTGATATTGAGCCTCGAGTTGGGCTCTGCGCTGCGCGTGGAGCCTGCTCAAGATCCTCTCTCTCCCTCTGCCTCCCCTGTCCCCCGCACCCCCTCCCCGCCCATCCTGTGCCATCTTTTAAAAAAAAAAAAGAAAGAGAGCAATGATGGCTTTGATGAGGGTGTGGTGTTGAAGGTGAGAGTAGCAGAGGAGCTTGGAAATGTGGAGATGGAGCTAACAGGACTTGCTGCTAGCTTGAATGTTGGGGTAAAAGAGAAATCAAGAATGGCTCCAGGGTAAATTCCAGGAAGGCACACGGGGTGTGAAATCAGGTCAGATTAGGAGATGTACACAGTAGTATAGGAATGAGGATCTAGATAATAAGAAATGGCCAGGAAGACTTGAACTTCTAGGGAGATAGAGATAAAAGGAATGGGAAACATGATAGAATCATCTGTGAAAGTCTCGTAAAGGAAGACAGGGTGTCTATCCAAGCTGTTAGGATGGCACCGCTGGGTGAATGCTCTCTCCTACAGCTACAAGTTGCGTAGCAACCAAAGCACCAAGCATAGGCCTCTTTTAGGGAGTCACCTTTTAGGTCAGTGGGAGTAGAGGTCCTTCACCTTCACCTCCCCCTTCCTGTCCCCCTTTGTCTGTACCTGGGGTGCGTCTCCGGTCAATCAGGGAGTCCTTTGGTGTCATTGGCTCGTCGTCAAAATCAAATTCTGTAGGCATGTGCGGTCTGGGACAGGTGGACAGAAAGTGAAGGGTGAGGGTGGTCTCCCCAAATACCCCGGCCTGTGGGTCTCCCCTCCCCATTCCATCCCTCCACTTTCCATGCTCCAGGGTCCCAGCTCCCCTCCCAATTTCCTCCTGGCACCAAGGGAGCAAGCCCCAGGAACAAGGTGTAAGGGTGCGCCCTCACTTTTCCTCTTCCTCCTCTTTGGCCTCAGGCTCCTCATCGGATCTCTCCTCTTCACTCTGGGCCTCAGGCGTGGGTGGCCGGCGGGGCAGGATCTCAGCCTGAAGCTCCAGGGTACCGTGGGCAGCCAGAAGTTCATAGAGCCGCTGGATTTCCGAGGGGGGAGGCATCCAGGCCTGCCCATCCGAGGGGAGCTCCATCTCCTCATCGCTGCAGGGCACGCACCAGTCTTCGGATTCTCCCTTGGCATGCTCTTCCCCTTCAGCGCTAGGGGCTTCTCCCTGCACCTCCTCGGCCCCGGACCCCTCATGCTCGGTCTCCTCCCGGCCTCCTTCCCCCTCTTCCTCGGCTTTATTGGCCGAAGCAGAGGAGCCTCCAGTATCCTCCACGGCCAGAGCTTGGAGGCCAGAGGTCACTTCCCCTTCTTCAGAGAGAGGCGCCGCCGTGGTGGCCGAAATGTCTCCATGACCACGAACAAGGGACATAGGCTACTAGGGGAGGGGCCCTGCGATGATAGGAGATGCAGGAGTACTAAGCCGGGGGTGGGGGGGCTCCCGCTCTACTCCCCCAAGGGATTGGGCTCCCCAGGAGTTCAGGGATTGTCTCCAACCAATCAGGCTCCAACAGCGGTCCCAGCGACGAGACCGCCGGTTCCCAGGAGGGGGCGCTGAGTCCCCTCCAAGGACCCCGCCCCACGGATCCAGATACGGTACTCCGAGATTCCCAGGGACCAGCGGAAACCACTTTCTAGGCCGGAGAGGGGCGGAGCCGCTCTTCTCGCCTTCACACCGCCCCTCTTCACACCTGGATCCAGCCAGCGCCCTCTCCCCACACTTCACCGCCTCAGCCGCCGTACGCACCTGGAGCTAAGACCCGCCTCCCGCGCTGCGCAGGGTCACAGTACGCAGGCGCACAGAGATGGCGCGGAAGGCTCCGCTCGAGCCCAAGCTACTTGGAAAAGGAAAGCAAGGGGAGGAGTGCACATGCGCAGGTAGGCTCGGGCACAATTGGCTTCGGCCCACAGTAAAGATGGCCACCGGGACGGCGCATGTGCATACACCCAGTAGGTTCAGCCCGAAAGGGGGCAGTACCGCGGGCCCCGGCGGCGGACAGACGTAAGGACCAACTGAGGCTGGAGGCAAGTCTCATGCAGTCTCCGTTTATTGGTGTTTCAGACTCATGCAGCATCCGGCATACAAAAAGGGAGAATCTGTTTGATGTGTCCTTTTTTTTTTTTTTTTTAAGACTTTTAGTGTTTTCCCCCTCCCCACGCCTTTTTTTTTTTTTTTTTTTTTTTTTAAGAAAACAAAACCCGCCAACTCCGAACAGCGTCGTAGATCGGTCCCCGCCTCCCTAGCGGACTGTCGCGTGCAACAAATCTCCCTCGTCCTCTTGGAAAATAATTATAGAGCTCCCCGCCCCTCACTCGCTCCCTGCATCTGGGAGCTTTGGTCCTATTTCGGGGTTCTTTCGTTTCAAAGCACGGGAATGACCCCAGCCCCGACGCCTCATTTAAGAAACTCGCTGAGCGGGTTTAAAAGCCCAGGTGGGGCAGGTCAGCTTGGGCTCAGAAAGGTCAACAGCCGCGCCCCTTCCTCCTCCCAGGTGCGTGCTCAGAGCAGAGCTAGCAATCGTGCCCGACACCCTGCACAAGTCCCCAGACAAGGCCTGGCTTGCCAGCTCTGCGACCCAGAGGCGCCCTGGAGGCGTCAGGACCTGGGTGGCCCCAGCAGAAAATAGTCGGAACCCGGGCTGGGGAGCCCTCCCCCTGACGCTGCTCCCCTCCCCCAGCCTGATCTAAGTGCTGGAGTTTTTGCAGAGAAAACGGTGGCAGGAGGGAGGAGGAGAGGATCCTGAGGGGAGGAAGGGATGCTGAGGGGAGAGGAGGCAGGAAGAGGAAGGGGGCAGAGGGTGTGGAGGGGCAAGGGGAGATGATAAAGGGGAGAAAGAAGAAAGGAATGGGGGAAGATGCCAAGACACTGAAAGTTGAAAGGGAGACAGCAGGGCTGAGGTGCAGGGAATTGGGGAAGTTGGGAGGAGTGCAGGGAGGCTGGGAGAGATGCAGGGAGGCTGAGAGCAGAGAGTTTGGGAGACGTTCAGGTCAAGGAGATTTCCAGAAGTGCAGGGAGGTTTCCAGAAGTGCAGGGATAGGGAGGCCAAGAGGCTGGAGGGGATGCAGGCAAAAGTGCAGGGAGGTTGGAAACAGTGCAGGGAGAAGAGAGGCCTACGGTTGGCACAGGAGCCTGGCAGGATGCAGGAGCAGGAAAGAAGCTGTAAACAAGGCCGCTCAGGCTCCCTTGGTCCCTATGGGTGCGGGCCTGGGCCATCGATTGGGCTCCCCCCAGGGGAGGATGGGCCCAAGGCAGCTCCCAACAGGAAGAAAAGTCTTGGAATGCGGGGCAGAGCCCCTCACTTATACACTGTGGGAGAGGAGAGGGAGGGACAGAGAGAGACGGTGGGGGGAGAGACAAGGAGAGACAAAGGAGAAGTAGGGAGGACAGACAGGAGAGAGCAGGGGCAGGGGTTAGTAAAACTGCCCTTGCCAACCCTTCCATTCCTCCCGGCCTGTCCCAGACCCCCACTCACCGCCTAAGTTGATGACGCAGGAGGCAATGATGATGAGGACCCCCCCTACCAGCGCCACGATGCTTAAGAGCTTGGCCACGCGGCCCAGACGCTGGGCCCCATCCACGTCCCCCTGCTGCAGGCTGTTCCGGGACTGGGGTTAGGGTGAGGGGTGGGGCACCGTGGGTCCAGGTCAGGAGAAGGCAGCCCAGCAGGAATCAGGTGAAAGAGTTGTCCAGAGGAGACAAGCAGGCCCCGTGGACAGTGGTTAGAGGGGGAAAGAGGGTTGGAGAGGCAGGGGGAAGAGGGCACAGGTCAGCAAGGCTGTGTGAAACATGTCTTGACCTCCCTCCCACCTGAAAGGGTAGGGCAGTGGTGGCTCAGAAGGGAATGTCCCAGGGAGAGGCCAGAAAAGGCCCCATACTTGGGGGGTGAGATCCATGCAGAGAGGAGAGGGAAGGCAAGGCTTCTCCTGGGATTCTGTCCCAGTGCTGGCAGGAAGCTGGGAGCCACAGCAGGCCTGGGCCAGGGTCCCGTGGGGCTCACCATGACAGCATAAGCGAAGGCCACGATGTTGACAGGCCACATGGGGCAGAAGCAGGACAGGATGGCGAGGATGATGTAGTCCCGAGGCTTCTGGGTGCCTTCACCCCCCTCCACCCCAGACCCTGCCAGCTGGGAGCTGGGGTGGCGGCTCAGGCTACCTTGGGGAGATCCTGGATGCCCACTGTGAGCCCTTCCTAGTCGGTCCTCCTCGACCAGCTGCTGCAGCACTCGGGGAGGAGCCCCATTGGCTGGGTGGGTTTTTGTTGAGGCTGGCGAGTGAGGCTGAGGGGCTGGGCCTTCTTCCCCGCCACCAGGCTGCAGGGGAACCACTGCCCCATTCTCTTGCTTTTCCCCCACATTCTCAGTCAGGACCTCAGGGGTGGGGTCCTCCTGGGTAGGGGGCTCTGGGTGAAGAGCTGGCTTGGGGGTGGGCTGGGAACCTGGCTGGCAGTCTGGCTGAGGGTCTGACTGGGGGTCCAACTGGGGAGCAGGCTCTGAGGCTGGCTCAAGTGGGGCTGCAGACCCTAGATCGGACCCCTTGTCTTCAGTGACCTCTTTATTCCCTTCTGGTTTGGGTGCTGGCTCTTGGCATGCTTCTTCGGGGCTGGGGTTGGCATTTGGTTCCCCTCCTGGGCTTGAGCTGAGGTCCTTGGCCTGGACTGTCTCTGGGGACCCAGTTGGGGTCTCTGTGGTTTCTGGAGCTGGCCCAGCTTTGGCTTCTGAGTCCACAGGGGCCCCAGTGATGTCTGGGCCTGGCTGCGGGGCCTCTGGCTCATCTGGGACCCCAGCTGGGACCTGGAGAGGGCCAGTTTTGGCTTCAGAATGGCCAGGCCCTTCTCCTTGGGTTTGGGGACCCTCTTCTATCTCCTTCATCTCTGAGCCCTCAGAGCTGCTGGCTGCCATCTTGGGAGGGGAGAGGGGAGAGGACCTCGATGGGGAGGCTGGAGCAGCAGAGACAGCAGCAATCCTGAAAGAGGAGGAGACAGGTTTGGTGTGAGGAGGAAAGAGGTGGCTCTCGGCACTGCAGCTCCAGAGGGCTCTGCTCCTGTCTTAGGGCCAGCCTTGGGCTGCCTCTGGGGAGAGGAAGAAAAGTTGGGGTTTCCTTTGCCTTGGGGTGGGACATCCTTGGGGAGGAGGAGTGCTCTGCTCAAAGTCTTCTGCTTGGAGAGCCCTGGGAAGATTAACCCTTTTGTAAACAGGACCCTCCCATGGTCTCTTCCTGGGTCCGCCCGACAAGATCCAGACTCTGAGATCCTAGCAGATGCCCCAGCACCCCGAAATCAACAAGCTGTGCAGACGCTCGCACGCTCCGACAGGCAGACAGGCACACTGGGCAGAGGACCGATACTCACGTTCCACTCCCTCCGCATCCTCCCTTCCTCCCCGGGCGCCCGGCCGGTGCAGTTTCCTCACTGCGCGACTGGGGCGCAGACGCCCCCGCCCCTCCCTGGGGGACCTGGGCTTCTCCTCTGAGCCCCTGGTCAGCCCCTCTCTCAGGGATTCCCTCGCCCCCGGGGGACCGGCGCCTCCTCCTCCCGCTGGCGTGGCGCGCCCAGCACCGCCAGCCAGTCCGCCCGGCGCCCGCATTCCGGTGCAGCCCTCCCGGCGTCCGCCGTCTGTCCGCGCACTCCTACCCGCAGCCTCGGTCCAGCCCCGTCTCACCTCGACGCCGGCCTCTAGACCGCTCCCGCTGCTGCCGCCACCGCCGCCCCGTTGCAGCAGCCGCAGCCCGGGAGGGAGCGAGTCAGCGAGCGAGGGAGGGAGGCGGCGGGTCTCCCCTCCCCTCGGTTCGTCCCCTCCTCTCGCTTCTCTCAGGTCCCCTCCCCTACGCTCCGCTGCCGCCGCGCACCGCCCCCGCCCCCTCGCTCGCCTCCCGCCCCTCCCCGCCAGCCCGAGGGAGCCACGCGTGCCAGGCCCCGCGTTACCCGGGCAACCGGCCGGGTAGCCACTCGCGCCCCCTCCCTGCCCCTTCCCACGCGCGCTTCTTGGGGGTGCCCCCTTCCCAAGCCCCCGGGCCCCTCCCACCAACGGTCACCGGGGGTCCTGGCAGAGGCAGGGGGCTGGGGGAAACGGAGAGGGGTCTGCGAGGAGACAGGACCTGTGAGACAGGCGGGACCCGGTGGTGGCACCCCGACAAGCAGAAAGAGGGGAAGGAAAATGAGGCAAAACTTGGGGAGGCTGCTCAGGAGGAGCAGGGTGGGGTTTGAAGAAAAGGGAGCCTGCAGTACTGGAAGCCCCTCTCCCCGCGAGGAAGCAGCAGCCGAAATGGGCGCTGGAAGGCTCCCGGGTCCCTGGAGCCGGACTCAGAAGGGAATTCCAGGGCAGAGGCTGCAGGGGCAGTCTGGAACAGGAGGGGGCTGGGCCCCGGAGCCCGCAAGCGCTGGATGGACCACACCAAGAGCCAAAGGGGCAGGTGCGGGGAGAGGCGCAGTTTTTCTTGGCACCCTCTCCGCTCCCAGTCCCAGGGCTGACGTCCCCATCCTTTCTTCAGCTCCATCGCCCACTGTCACCCCTCAGGGCCTTAAGGGTGTGCAGGTACTCGGCTGGGGTCTGAGCAGCAGGCAATGGGTGTGAGTGGGGGAGAGCAGCATTAACGTCTGGTAACTGTTGGGGTTTCTAACCCAGGCCTCTTTGGACCTCCAGTGGCTATTCTGGGCCTGGCCAGATTGGGTATTCCGGGAGACCTGGGAGTCCTGGAACCTGCTCTCCAGTCACTGGAGCCTCAGCCCCACCCTGAATCTGGGCTGCAGCCGCTGGTGCTGCCCATGGCCAGGGAGGAGCCAGAGCCCAGGAGCCACACAGGCTCCAGCCCGGAGCCCAGAGCCCCGCTGGGACTGGCTGGGACTGGCACCAGGTGCAGGAAGAAATGCCTGGGGGGCGGGGGGTGTGTGTGTGTGCAGACAGGGAGCTTGGGGAGAGCAATCCATCCACTCCAAAATCAGAGACAGGTTTTTATTTAAAATTTATTGTAATGGGGTCCGCGCAAAAGGAGGGGGTGAAGGGTGGGAAACATGCAGGGGACACAGGAACACGATGACATGGCCAGGGCCACAGCTTCTGTCGTGGGGGAGAGGGATGAAAAGAAAAGGCCAGGGCTGGAGCTGGGGTGGAAGAGGGACGGGGGAGACACCGTGACTGCATTCCCCCCCCCCCCAGGAAGCACCTCTAGTCCCTGGATCCCCCCATCTACCCTGGCACCCTAAAATTCCATCTCTTGTCCTGCCTCTGGCCCTACTTGCTCCTTCTTTTGCTCCCCTTGACTTGTTTTCCCCTGACAGATTCTCAAGTAGGACGATGTTTAGGGCCTGACCCCAAAGAACTCCACCTCATGAAGGTACTACGGTCGCCTTCCCTGCTTCTGCCCCTTCTCCAATCTCACCTTTTCCCCTCTCTGGGACAGAATCTTGGATTCCCCTCCTTCCTCTCCTCCCTCCCCCTGGAAAAAAAAAAAAAAAAAAAAAGCACCAACTCCCCAGGGAGGGGCAGCAGACAGTAGTGGGGAGGGGGGGTGGAAGGAGGAGAGCAAGGACCATCAAGGAGAAGGCTCACAGATCCCTGGCAGGGCAGGGCGTCACAGAGAGGAGAGGGGGTGAGGGCAGTGCCGCTCCTGTCCTCTGCCGCCCCTGCCCACTGTCCAGGGGCCTTCAACACAACCGAGGGGACAGGTGTGTGTGGGGTCAGGTCTGATAGGGAGAAGAGAGGAGCAGGAGAAACAAATCGTTAAAACCTAGCGAATTCCCCTAAGAAACATCTCTTCCTCCGTTCCTTCTGGAGGCTCCTTGGTCAGTGGGGGAGGAGTGAGGAGTTGGTAGGAAGAGAGAGGGGAAGAGGAGACGGTACCAAGGGACTTTCCTCCATGTTCCACTCTCCCCGCCACCAACCTGGAGCTCACCAGGGCTGGGAGGGAAGTGGCTGAGAGCTCACGGGCACCCCCTCGGCCCCCGAAAGGGAGCCCACAGCTGTGGGGGGGGCTGTCACCACTGCCGCCGCCGCCGCCGCCGCCGCCGCAGCTGCCACCGCCATAGGACAGACCTCACCGGTACCTGCGCGGGCGGAAGCACCGGGAGATCACAGCGCAATCCCGTCCGCAAGAGCCTCGCCCCTTGCCCCAGACTCCAGACTCGTGCCCAGACTCCCGCCCCTGGGACACAGCCGTTGCTCACTTCCTATTTGGTCCCCGGAGGCTTCCACCTGCATCCTTTCCCAGTTCTCCTGACGGGCCCTCCCTGTGCCCAGAAGGCTCCCTAACTTCAGTGGTGGACGGGCATCCCTGGCCTTCCTGAGATCCCCTACTGGGCCCTTTGAGCCCCCTCGTCCCACACACCCCATCCCACCCCCCCCAGCCATGCCCCACGCCTTGCCTGGTGGGTGCGGGGGTCCCCCTCAGCAGGTGGGCTGTGGCTGGGGGGCGTCTCCCGGGACAGGGGGGGCGGCCCCCCCCAGATGGGTCTGCATGTGGCCGGCCAGCTGGGCAGGGGTCTTGCAGTGCACGCTGCACAGCTTGCACAGGATGCGGTCAGCCCGCGGGGCCTGGAGCCCGTGGTCCTTCACCGCGTGGATGCGCAGGTATGCTGCTGTGGTGAAGCCTATTGGGGGGGGGTGGATTGGGATGGGGGGGATGGGGGGGTCAGCCAGGCGGAGACCCCAGAGACGGGGTTGTTCTCCTAGGCTGGGGACGCCCTCCTCAGATGGCCCTGTCCTCCTCCCACCACATCCTTGGTAACCTGGGGCCAACTACTCTGTTGGGGCTGGTGGGGCACAGCCCCTCCCTCAGCTTGGGGCCTGGGTGAGTGGTGTCAGCTTCTCAGCCTTGGTACCCACAGAACCTATTTTCTGTGGCTAGGGGGAACCTCTCCCGGGGTGACAGGACACTGATTTCTAGCCACTTGAAGAGTTGACCCTCAGCAGAGACGGCTGTGTCCCCTCCCTCCAGGGCCCCGGACGGTCTCAGCCCAATGACTCAGAGAATTCGTGAAGCTTTCTCCGCTACTGGGGCAGGGCACAGGTTTGTTAATCCCCTGCCAGCGAACTCCGCTTTGCCCCAAGAGCGGAAGAGCACAACGTGTGGCCGCACAGCCGAAACCCTGTCTTCCAACCCTTGGGAACTGGCTCTCTTGACCACTCCTTCCCCAAAGCAGCCCCTTCCCCAGAGCAACCCACCCCCAGAGGATGACTCTCTTTTTGGTAGCTCATCTTCTCCGGTTAAGACCTCTTAGAACTTAATGAGGATCAGTCAACCCGACGCTGCTCCATGTGCTTCCTAAAGGGCTCTAGATGCCGTGAGCTCTTAGCTACAGCACCTTTAAGCCTCATCTGTGGAAGGGCCTTTGGCTCCGAGCCCACCCTTCGTCCCTGGCCCTCCCAGCATCCCTCAGCATCTACCTTTGTTGCAGAGCTCACAGACGTGGTGAGGGCCCTGGCTGTGCACCTTCATGTGGTCGGAAATATAAGCCGAGCTCAGCATCTTGCCACACACGTGACATGGCACCTTCTCCTCGTGTCGGACTGTGTGCGCCCGCAGCCGGTCCTTCGTAGCAAAAGCTGCCTCACATTTCTGGGGAGGGGGGAGGGGCGTGGGGGGTGTCAGGAGAGTTAAAGCTTCGGGGAGTGGGGACAGAGGGGCAAGAGGTTAAAGGAATCAGAGCCTTGGGGGTCTTTGATCTGTAGGAAATGGGAGTGAGATGACAAGGTCTTGAAGAAGGGATGAGACAATGGAGTGAAAAAGCAAAAAGAAGAGAGAGAAAAAGGGGGTCTGAGAGGCTGAACTCAGACAGCTACAATGAGGATCAAAATCATGAAAACCGGGACAGGAAGAGGCGGGCTTCCTACCTCACATTTGAAGGGCCGTTCTGTTGAGTGCACTTGTCTGACGTGACTGTTGAGGTGATCCGGCCTGGGAATACGTTGGGGTTGGGGTTAGGGCCCTGGGGTGTGGACGTGCTCCCCAATCGGCTTAATTCTTCCTAGCACGCCCGGCCTTTCCTAAGCTGCCTGCACTTTCGCCCAAGCCCCAGGCTCGCGAGTCCCGGTGCGGCAGGAAATCCGTCCCCCTGCCGCCCGGCGGGCCGGTCCTCCTCCCACGCGAAGCCGCCTCCCAGGCGGAGGACCCACCTCCTTGGCTAAGTACCACCCCCTGCTCCCTGGTAACCAGGAGAGGCTTTCCTCCCTCCTCCCGGGGAGTGGCTCCCGGTCCCCATCCTCAGAAGCCGCCTCCCTCCCCGCCAGCCAAGGCCAGGCCACCTCCGTTGCCGTCCCTCCCTCCCCCCCGCCCCCCCCCGCCCGGTGGGCGGCCGAGGCCCCGTGCACACCGGGAGAAGCTCTTGCCACAGTGGGAGCAGTTGTAGGGCTTGTGCACAGCGCCGTCATGTGAGCGCACGTGGTAGCTCATGCGGTCCTTGCGCTTGAAGCGCTGCTGGCACACCGGGCACTGGTAGGGCTTCTCGTCCGAGTGCGACAGCTTGTGTCGGTTCAGGTGGTAGACGTCGCGGAAGGCCTTGCCGCACATCTCGCAGGCGTGGTTCTTCCGGATGCGCTTTCCCGAGGCGGTCGTGGTCACCACGCCACCCGCGGCCACGGCGGCCGCTCCGCCGCCCGCACCCGCCTCTCCCCCTCCCCCGCCGGCTCCGCTCAGCTGGGGCACGCTCAGGAGGCTCAGGGGCACCATGGTGGGCATCTTCATAGCACCCGAGGGGACCCGGCCGGCCTTGGCTCCCGTGTGGATGGCCTCGTGCCTCCGGAGGTTGTAGCCGTTCTTGAACTCCTTGGCGCACAGGGCGCAGATGTAGGGCCCCTTGCTCTTTGTCTTCTTCTCCAAGGCAGAGGCGACCGGGGCCACGGCGACCGTCGAGGTTGGGGCTACGACGGCGGTGGCCGCGGCTGCGGCGATGGTGGCGGCAGAGACAGGGGGCGCGGCCTCGGCCGCGGGCGCCGACACCGGCGGGGGCGGCGGCGGGGGCGCCGGCGGCTGCTTCAGAGCCGCTGTGTCCACTGTGGAGGCGGCGGCCGGGGCCGGGGGCGCAGCAGCGACGGCGGCGGCGGCAGCGGCAGCTGCGGCGGCGGCCGCGGCGGCGGCCGACTCCTGCGCGGCGGCGAGAACCGGGAGCAAGTCCACCTGGAGGGGCTCGGCCGCCGGGGGCTGGGGCGTGGGTGGGGGCGCCGGCGCGGCCTGCGAAGACAAGGCGCCGTGTGGGCCGCGGCCGCGGGTCGGCGCCCTCCCGGCCCGCCACGGCCGGCCCCTACTCACCTGGAATGGACTCTGGGCGCAGCCCTGGGAGGCAAAGAAGCGGGACTGGAGCTCAGCCCCGACCTGCAGGGGGTTCTGGGCGTGACCCTGAGGTGGCGGGAAGGAGTTCATGAGGCCGCCCACCCCCCGGGAGTCCAGGCCCAGCACGGGGAAGGGGGGGGCGAGCAGCGTGCAAGGGAACACGGGGAACATGGCCTCGGCCACGGCGGGGCCCCCGGGGCTCAGCGGGGGCCGGGGGCGCGGGCCGCGCGGGGCCCGGGCTCGGGGCGCCGCCCCCGGCCGGCCGGGCTGGGCCGCGCCGAACGCATGGCCCGCGGGCCGCCCCGCCGCCCGCGCACCCCGGCCGGCGGGAGGGAGGGAAGGAGGGCGCCTGGCGGGCCGCGGAGCGCGGCGGCGACGGCGGCGGCGACGCCCCCTGGGTGGGGGCGGGAGGCCCCGCGGGGCCGGGGGCCGGGGGCGGGGGGGGCGGGGGCCCGGGCGGCGGCGGCGGCGGCGGCGGCGGCGGCGGCGGTTGGAGCCTGGCGGGGCGGGGTGGGGGGAGCGAGGGAGCAGCCTCGGCCCCCGCCGCGCGCGCGCCCAGCCGGCGCCTCGGGGAGGGCGGGGGAGGGCGCGAGGGAGGGAGGGGGACAGCTGCGCGCGCACCGGGCGCGCGGAGGGGGGGTGGGACGGGAGGGAGGGCGGGCGGGAGGGGGTGTGGGAAGGGGGGGTGGGGGGCGGGGGGAGGGGGTTGTTACCTGGAAGATGAAGCTGCTCCAGTTGCCGGGATCCATGGCGGAGGGAGGGAGGGAGGTGGCTCGCGCTCACCCTGGGGCGGGAGGAGGAGGAGGCGGCAGTGGGGGAGGGGGAACCCAGGGAGGAGGCGCGCGGGGCGGGCGGGAGGGGGGAAGGAGGAGGAGGGTGGGGGGAGCGGAGCACACTGCGCGCGGGGAGGGCGGGCGGGGGGCGCGAGGACACACAAGAGGCTGGAGCGGGCGCGAGCGCGAGCGCGCGCGAGGCCAGCGGGAGGGGGGAGGTACGAGAGGGACTCTGGCGGGAGGAGGGACGGGGGAGCCACCCAGCAGCCCGAGTCGCCCCAAGCGCGAGACCCCTGAGACGGCCGCTGATTGGCTGACGATGGCGCAGGTGGTGGGCGCGCGGGAGACAGGGCGGCTTCTCTCTTCCCCCCCCTTCAAAGATTCCACCCCCCTCCTCCCTCCGCCAGCGGCCGTTATTTCGCGCGCACGCGCATAAAACCGCTGTCGTTGCTGAGCGGGAGAACAGGGGAGCGCGCGCCGGGGGTACGGATGGGGCGGGGCTAAACTCGAAGCGCGCGCCCGCCTAACGGTCGTCGTCCTTGGGCTTTCGCGGTACTTTTTTGTTTCCTTTCGGCCACCGTCCTTCCCCCCCCCCCCACTGCAGCGGTTTATTTACAATCCTGCCCTGCTTCATTCCTGCCTGCCTTTCCCAAAGATGGCGCCGAAAGAAGTTACGCGGAGGAGCTTGTGGCCCATCCCAAGGGCAATTATACCCCCGGCCCCGCCCCCGCAGTCCCAAGAATCAGGCTGAAACATCGGAGTAAAAATTGTATTTACACGACACGCAGTTATATGAGGATTAAAAAAAAAAAAAAAGGCACAGTGAGGAAAGGAGCTGGCAGTCAGGAGGGGCCTCAGCGCTGGCTCGCGGCGAGACCCAGGATGTTCGCCTGCAACACAGGACGGAAGGGGAGAGCAGCATTAAAGCTGGGGGCAGGGCACAGGCCGGAGAGGAGGGGGCCAAGCGGTGGGCTCACCTTCAGGAATGACTCCATCTGTTTCCCGGATATGCCCTCCACGCGTTCCAGGTCCTCCACCTGGTGGGACGGCAATGATGGGAAGGGGCCTCTGGGGTATCACGCTTCTCCCCTCCCGCCCCCCCCCCCCAGTCCATTCCAGGGCCGCCCTCCCTGGGCCATTACCTGGCTAAAGGGGCCGTGGAGCTCCCTCCAGCCCACGATGAGCTGGGCCTTCTTTTGGCCAATGCGCTGCAGGCTGCGCAGATCCCGGGCAGAGCCTTCGTTCAGCAGATCTAGTATCTTTTGGCGCCCATGGGCCAGTAGCTCCGGGCTGATCTGTAGCTCCCAGCAGTCCTCAGCCTTCTCCTCTGGCTCTGAGGCATCCAGGGACTCCAGCTATGAGGCAGGGGGAGGTGAGTGACAGAAACAGAGTTTGCTATTCAGCCGGTGGCAGCAAACTGCATTAGACTCCTCTGCCAAGGATAGGAGCCTAACAGCAGCTACCTCCCCGCCCTCCCTAGCCTCTCTTTCCCTCAAGTGTCTGTCCAAAAACCCTTGTCTCGAGTCACTCTCTGGGCTGACTCTCATTTTACCCGACTTGTGAAAGAGTGGTAGTAGTTGTTGTGAAGATCAAATGAGTTAATGAACTTAAATTTGTCTCATCTCTAAAAAGGAATGAATAAGCTCTCTTTGACTCCTAGGAAGGCACACAGAAGAATAAATGACAGCCACGCCCCACCACATCATCAGTTTTTAGGTAATTCTTCCAGTGTTGTTTCATTTCTTGAGTGCTTAGGTCATGTTTCCCAAAGTGGGCTCTTAAGTTTGTGGAGTGGGACTCAGGCTACATACTGTACGTAGTAGCTGAGGGTGAGAGCCACAAGAAAGAAAGGGAAGTAACAGGTGATGGATACCCTCTCTGCTAGGTACATACTGCATTTCATCCTAAATGCCCTGTGAGGTATCTCCACATTCAGAGGGTAGGCAACTTGTAAATAGCTGGTGTTTTAACTCCATGGCTAGTGCTCTTCCCATCAGTGCTCACTACCCTTACTTCTCTGCTCCAGATGGAGCTCAAGCATCAGCTGCTCTCACCTTTCTCTTCCGGCCTTTCTTCTTCAGGATATGGATCTCAGCACTTGGGGACGCCGCCTGCTCCTGAACTGAAGGCAACATTTGTGAACCGGAATCATGGCAGAGGCTACTTTTCACCCGCCCTCACTTGGTTCTATTTATGATTCCCCGGTTCCCCTCCAGCCCAAGTGAACCTCTTCTTTCGTTGTTTCCATATGACCTTTCTTACAACTGTATTTGCAAGTAGTCTCACCTGTTATTGCACGGTAATCAGTCCTGCCCAGGTCAGTCGGCCCCCACCGTACTAAGTGCCTGATCACAGACACCCGAGCTCTATTTCAGACCGTCCTCACCACCACCCCCTCCCTGGGGTTGCAATATGGTGGGAGCACATGAGTGACATGATGAAAGCTGCTCTGAACACCTCCCACCTTTCCAGGATCTGTCATGTGGGCCCTCCTGGCCCCCACAGCTGAACTTACTCAGTTGTAGGGGCATCACCACAGCCTTTTTGAGGGGCTTCGCTACGGTGACTGTGCGGCGGGCAAGCGGTCGGAGAATTGTGGGAGACGAGTTCTCTTTATCCTTTGGGTCCACAGCCTCCTGGGCCAGAACCTTGGCTTCCAGTTCTTTTTGCTTCATCTTAAGCCTCTGTTGGAAAGGATCAGAGAGACATGTGACCCAGAACAAACTTTCAGGCAGCATGAAGGAGGTGGGTTAGGAAAGTGAGTGCAGGGCTCTGAGGCCCTACCTGGCAGGGTGAGGAACAAGGAGAGAAGCTACCGGGAGACAACTGGAGCATAATTAGGGGCTTTCTCATGATCGGGACTGCTCAGAGGTGGAACAGGCCCCTTTGTGAAACGCTGAAGGAAAGGGACTATTCAGGCAGAAAGTCCTAGCTTAATTTGGGTTTTAGGAAATGACAAGGTCTTACATTTGTTCCTTTCACCTGGATTTCCACCCTCCCCCCCCACCTCCTCAAAGCTGACCTCAATCATTTTTCAAAGTCCAGCCACATTAAGGACATTTAAGCACCAGCCACAGAACAGGGATTCCGGTGTTAGGTAAAAACTGGATGCTGGTCCAGCTTCCGGTGTCTTTCCCTATCTGAAGATGCTCAGATTGCTTCTCAAGGCCAGTAGGAATCCCAGGCCCCACTTCCCCAACACTGACCTCAATCTCCAAATCCTTTTCCTCCATTGTTTTCATGAGCACCATCCGCTCTCGCCTTGGGGTGTTTAGCCCATGGGTCCCCTGGCTCGCCTGGGAGCCCAGCAGACGGTCCAAGCTTAGGAGGCGCTCCAGCACAGCGGGGTCCATGCTACTTAGCTTCTGTAGGGGACTGAGCAGACAAAGGTTACTCCGCACCTAGTCCTTCTCTTATCACCCTCTCCACAGCAGCAGGATTCCCCTCATGATGCCTTCAGTTGTATTCTGTGGTTCCAGACTCTGGTGTTAACTTGCTGGGCAACCCTGAGCAAGTCAACCAGACTCTCCGGGTGCAGTGCTTCATCAGGTGAATGCAGATCCATCACTACTTGCCCAGGTGACCTCTCAGGAATGCCAGGAGATCCGATGAGAACAAGCACTTCATGTGCACCTGAGTTCCAAGTGTTCAGGCACTGCCCCGCCCTGCCCTGTAGGCACTCACAGTCTGAACGGAAAGGCAGAGACTGTGAGAAGGTGAAAGCAAGGGTTGTGTGCTGGTTTCTTTGGAAGAGCAGATGGGGAAAGATTCACAGAGGTCATTTTCAGCAGGGCTTTGAAAGCCACTGAGGACCTCAAATGCCAAGCCGCCTTCCCACGGACAGTAGGAAAGGCCTCTTGGAGCTGAGTCCTGACTTAATCTGAGCATGACAATGCCTAACATTTGTTTCTTCCATCTGGAAAGTCAACTTGATACCACCTTTCCCATGAACCCCAACTTGACTGTATCTTCCTTCCTATACTGTGAACTAGCTCTTCAAGGACAGTGACTGCCCTGTTCCTTGTGTGCAAGTGCCTAGGAAGAGCAGGATCATAAAATATGGGTGAACACTAGAGGTCAGTCCTTCCTGGCTCTCACAGAAGCAGCAACTCCTTCCTTACCACACCCTGTCCTACCTACCCTGCATCATCTACTGATGTTCTTCTCTTCTTTCCCTTCCTGAAACCTGAGCCACCTGAGGTCAGGATCTGACTAGGTCTGACATACCCCATCTCTGAGCTTACCCAGGGTGCCTGTCTGGCAGAGACTTTGCCTATTTACATGTAACACACATGTGCGGGGCGTATGTTTCTCTGAGCTTATGCACATAGGAGAAGGGACTGCTGACAGCTTGAGAAGGACAAGATTGAGATGGAGTTCTAAGCAAACACCCTTTCCTGTATGCCATTCATCCTCAACTCCAGCAGTGTCGTTCCCCCACCGCCCGGGGCAGAGTATGTACTAATCCTTGATCTCCTCAGGTCACCTCTGTTCACTGGTCTTCAGATTTACACAGTTTAGAAAGGCTTTTTTTGGGCTTGGGTAGAAATCGGGCAAAAGTAAAACTGCAGCTGGCTCCCTAGAATTAGGGGGGGCCCGGTGGCCAGACATAGAAAGCAAGACCACTAAATAGCAGTGACCTAAGGATTCATGCATCCTGGGCCATGAGATGGGATTATCAGAACCAGAGAGAGAGAGGCTGCACACACAGAAGGGACTTAGTTTAGAGACTTTGGAATGAGGTTAGAAGCAAAGTTAGGACAGCAACAGGCTCCTTATAGAGTCATGGAGATGCTGGACTCTAATGCACACACTGAGAGGTCTCAGGGAGACAGAGCTCTTCATCTCTTATCTCTGCTTTGCTCTTATCCTCTAGACCTGAAAGACCTGATCCAGATTACTCCTTGAGCCAGAAGTTAAAGTGCTCATCCTTGAAACACCTGCCCCCAAATGCGAGGTTCTGCTGACTGCCTAAAAGGGTTGTAAAATGAAAAGGGAGGGGCTAGGAACTCAAGGAGGAGGCTTCCTTCAAGGCCCTGGGCAGCAGCACCAGGGCTAGAGATTAAGCTTAGCACTTCCAGTGAATTCAGTAGAGTAGGATTTGGGGTGAATTCGATGAGAGAGGAACAAATTTGCAGCTCAAAGATCTGACAGGCTAAACCCACTACTCTCTGCACTTAACCCAGACACGACAGCAAAGGGGACATTACCCAAGCCCCTCCCCATCTGCTCACCTGAGTTCCTGGGAGGCGGAGGCTGGAGCTGCTGGGGGCTCAGGACTCCCAATCTCCTCTTCTTCAGGGCCGCGGGCTCTCTTTGCCTCTGACGGGCCTAGCAGTTCTTTCTGGGACAGTTTAACGGGTGCCAAGACTAGGAAAGATGTGGGGGCGGGTCAGCCTCTGTGCTGATGCTAGGCAGCTTCAGCACTCTCTCCAGTTGTCCAGATCTGCCCTTTGCACTCTGGCCAACCCCAGTCCTCACCACGAAGCTGCAGACTCTCATTGGTAAAAGGTCGGTTGATCACCTCCTTGGACCTGGCAGCAAAGTTGAGTGCAGAGACTGTATCTAAGTAGAAGCGTCTCTCAGGAGCAATGTTGGCAATGAGGATGCTGTGGGCTGAGCCACCCAGAGAATCCTGAGGGATGGGGATTGGGCAGGATAGGCAGATCAGAAGCCTCACGTTTCCATTCCTCGACTGCGGTTCCCCAGCCTCCCGGCACACCGGAGAACCTCCTTCTCCAGCCCCTTTTCATCCTGAGATGGGTGGCCTGACCTGCAACAGGCGAGTGAGCTTGCTGTCCCGGTAAGGCACACGAGGGAGGCCCTGGTTCAGCGCATCCACCACCTTGCCCAGTACAAAGAGGGAGGAGTTGATGGCTCCGCTTTCCTTCAGCCGCAGACCCTTGTTACCCGTGCGCCGGTTGTCCTCGGAGCCAGCCAAGTCAATCAGGTAGAGTTTACCCTCCCGCTGGCGAAATGGGGCCAGACGTTCCCGCTGATCCACCTGGGGTTAAGAGCAAGGGCCCCCAAGCTTAGTTCAGCCTCTAGGGGCTTCCCGGCTCCTCCCCCCATCAGCAGGCCTCACCTTAACCAGGAGCACAGCATGACTGCGGGAGGAGCGCTGGTTGAGCCGGGTGGCTCCTACAGTCCGATTTCTACTGGCTGGCAGGAAGTGCCGCTCAAAATCAGCAAAGCTAGTGATGGGCTTCTGTGTGAGGCCCGGAATCAGGATGTTTCCCCGACAGTCTTCTCGGATCACCAGGTCTCCTGATGCAGGGTCCAAGAGGTCTAATACCTGTTGGAGCAGGGAGAGGTAGGGCCAGTTCTCCAGACACAGGCTGCTTACTTCCGGGGCATCAGTCTCCTCTGCTGGACTGTCCGAGGTATACCATCTGCTCCCCCGACCTCTGTCTGTCCAGCTCTTGCCTCCTTGCTAGGGCAGAGCTTCACGGTCAAGAACTGGATCTTATTTTGTTTGCCCTTTGTCTCTCCCCTTCCCAACCAGAGTGGGGCCTCACCTTTTCCTGGTAGATCTCTAAGTAGGACATAGTGACAGAGAGAGCCCATGGCCGGCCCTCACCGCCCTCCTCCCTTGTGAGCTGTAGGAGGTCCATGAGAGCCCGGGGAATCACTCCAGGTTGTTCTGGGCTGCCCAGCATTGTGTGCGTCTTCCCTGGGGAAAGAGTGAAGATCACTGTGAGATCTTCCTCCCCACTCTTGAGCCCTCTCGGACCCATAGCTGTTCCCTATCTGGCTCCCTCACCTGCCCCCGTGGGCCCATAAGCAAGCACACTGGCATTCTGTCCTTCCAGCAAGTGCCTTAGGATGGGCTGCACTGATCCTGCATAGATGTCCTGCTGAGAGCTCTTCTCCCCATAGAAGGCATCAAACCTGCAGGCAGGAAAAAAGGAATCAGTGGAGGGCTCCATCCTCCCCCAGATTTAGAGGGTAATAATACTGGCCTCGGATTTAAGAGTCTCTATCGCTTTTCTTGCATAAAGACCTCAGAAAGCATCCAATGAACACCTGTTCTGCCCCAGTCCCCGTACTGGTGTTAGGAATACAGAGATGAGTCTGATACCCTGCTCTGGGCAGTTCTGTAGTCTGGTGGGACAGAAAGATACCTATACTTTTCTGTGATTCAGGAAAAGAAGAGGAGGACACACTAGAAAGAGTAACTGATTCTGCTTGAAGAAAGAGGATTTTGCCAGAGAGAGAAAAGAAAGATATTCCGAGTATCAAAACTAGCCACCAGACAAGGCATGGTGT